TGCTTTTGAAAATGAGTATCGTATCCGGATACGATTTAGTATTGATACTTTTTTGCGTATCGATACCTTTGACCGCCCTAATCCTCGGCTCCTCTCTGCCTGCTGCAGGTCGGGTTCCTGAAGACGCAGCACCGCTACGAGATCGTGTTCACGCTGCCGGAGGTTCCCGGTCTGGGCCGGGACGTGTGCCCCGCCCCCGTCCCCAGCCCACACCTGAGGATCACCGACATCACGCCCGCGCCAGAGGGTGAGAAACCTCCTTAGACCAAACATCTGCCTCCATGTGGGGTCAGAGAGGCTCTAAAAAACTAACATCTGACTCCCTTGTAGTCAGAAAGACTCTAAAAACCAAACATCTGGCTCCATGTGGTCAGATGGGCTCTAAAAATAGATTATTGTCATAGTGGTGATAAATGTAATATTGTGTTTACACTGTAAGTCGCTTTGGATAAAACCGTCTGCTAAATGCATAAACATAAACATTAAACCAAACATATGGCCCCTGTGTGGTCAGATGGGCTCTAAAAAACAAACATCTGGCCCTTGTGGACAGATTGACTCTTTAAACCACACATCTGGACCCTGTATGGACATTCTGTTAGACCACAAGGGAGCCAGATGTTCGGTCTAGACAGACTCTTTAAACCTAACATCTGGCCCTTGTGTGGACATACAGACTATAAAAACCAAACATCTGGACTCTGTGTGGTCATAGAGGCTCTAAAAACGTGGTCATGTGGGCTCTTTTAACCAAACATCTGGCCTCTGTGTGGACATACAGACTCTTTAGACTAAACATCTGGCTCCATGTGTGAACAGAGGCTGTTTACACCAAACCTCTGGCCTCTGGGTGGTCATATGGGATCTTTAAAACTCAACATCTGGCCTCTGTGTGGACATACAGCCTCTTTAAACCCAACATCTGGATCCTATGTGTTCAGAGAGGCTCTTTTAACCAAACATCTGGCTCCATCTGTGGCCAGAGAGGCTATAAAAACCAAACATCTGGCCCCTAAGTGTAAATACAGACTCTTTTAACCTAACATCTGGCTCCATGTCTGTACACATGGGCTCTTTAGACTAAACATCTGGCCCCTGTGTGGTCATATGGGCTCTAAAAATAGCTTATTGTATAGCTTATTGTCATAGTGATGATAAATGTAATATTGTGTCTACACTGTAAGTCGCTTTGGATAAAAGCGTCTGCCAAATGCATAAACATAAACATTACACCAAACATCTGGCTTCTGTGTTGTCATATGGGATCTTTAAACCAAACATCTGGCCCCTGTATGGACACTCTGTTTGACCACAAGGGAGCCAGATGTTTGGTTTAGACAGACTCTAAAAACCAAACATCTGGCCTCTGTGTGGACATACACACTCTTTTAACCAAACATCTGGCCCCTTGTAGTCAGACAGACTATAAAAACTAAACATCTGGCTCAATGTGGTTAGATGGGCTCTTTAAACCAAACATCTTGCCTCTGTGTGGTCAGACAGACTATAAAAACCAAACATCTGGCCCTTGTGTGTAGAGAGGGGCTTTTTTAACCAAACATCTGGCTCCCTTGTGGACAGAGAGTCTCTTTTAATCAAACATCTGGCCCCTGTTTGGTTTAAAGAGCTTCTCTGACCAAACATCTGGCCCCTGTGTGTACAGAAAGGCTCTAAAATCAAATATATGGCCCCTGTGTATACATACAGACTCTTTAAACCAAACATCTGGCCCCTGTGTGGTCATATGGGCTCTAAAAATAGCTTATTGTATAGCTTATTGTCATAGTGGTGATAAATGTAATATTGTGTTTATACTGTAAGTCGCTTTGGATAAAAGCGTCTGCTAAATGCATAAACATAAACATTACACCAAACATCTGGCCCCTGTGTTGTCATATGGGATCTTTAAAACTCAACATCTGGCGTCTGTGTGGACAGATAGGATCCAAACATCTGGCTCCATGTTGTCAGAGAGCATCTAAAAAACAAACATCTGGCCCCTTTGTGTACAGAGTGGCTCTAAAAGCTAAACATCTGGCCCCTGTGTGTACATACAGACTCTTTAAACAAAACATCTGGCCTCTGTGTGGTGAGAGTGGCTTTTTAGACCAAACATCTGGCTCAGTGTGGTTAGATGGGATCTTTAAACCAAACATCTGGCCCCTGTGTGGTCAGAGAGATTCTTTAAACAAAACATCTGGCCCCTGTGTGTTGAGAAGGGCTTTTTAGAGGGGCTTTTTAAACCAAACATTTGGCCCCTTTGTGGTAAGATAGGTTCTTTTAACCAAACATCTGGCTCCCTTGTGTACAAATTGACTCTTTCAACCAAACATCTGGCCCCTGTGTGTATAGAGAGGCTTTTTTAACCAAACATCTGGACCCTGTGTGGACACTCTGACCACAAGGGAGCCAGATGTTTGGTCTAGACAGACTCTAAAAACCAAACATCTGGCCCTTGTGTGTACAGAGAGGCTCTTTAAACCAAACATCTGGCCCCCTTGTGGACAGATTGACTCTTTAAACCAAACATCTGGCCCCTGTGTGGACATTCTGTTAGACCACAAGGGAGCCAGATGTTTTTTCTAGACTAGACACGCTCTAAAAACCCAACATCTGGCCCGTTAGGTCATAGAGGCTCTTTAAACTAAACATTTGGCCCCTGTGTGTACAGAGAGGCTCTTTAGACCAAACATCTGGCCCCTTTGTGTACAGAGAGGCTATAAAAACCAAACATCTGGCCCCTAAGTGTAAATACAGACTCTTTTAACCTAACATCTGGCTCCATGTCTGTACACATGGGCTCTTTAGACCAAACATCTGGCCCCTGTTTGGTCAGACACTCTAAAAACCAAACATCTGGCCCCTGTGTGGTCATTCTATTTGACAACAAGGGAGCCAGATGTTTGGTTTAGACAGACTCTAAAGACCAAACATCTGGCCCCTTTGTGTACAAAGAGGCTCTTTTAACCAAACATCTGGCCCCTGTGTGGTCAGACAGGCTCTTTAAACCAAACATCTGGCTCCTGAGTGTAAAGAAAGGCTCTAAAAACCAAACATCTGGCCCCTTTGTGGACATACAGACTCTTAAAACCCAACATCTGGCCCCTGTGTGGTCAGACAGGCTCTTTAAACCAAACATCTGGCTCCATGTGGTCATATGGGATCTTTAAACCAAACATCTGGCCCCTGAGTGTAAAGAAAGGCTCTAAAAACCAAACATCTGGCCCCTTTGTGGACATACAGACTCTTAAAACCCAACATCTGGCCCCTGTGTGGTCATATGGGATCTTTTAACCAAACATCTGGCCCCTGTGTGATATATATTTAGATATATTTAGTTACATATTTAGACCGTTAGCTTCTCCTCTGGTGTCTCCGGGAGCCGTTTCCCCCTCGACCTCGTAACCGGAGAGTTCCTCTGGCCTTTGGCTCCCGGCACGTGCACGGCTCTACACGGGCGTGCACGTGCTCTGCGCGGGCGTGCACGTGCCCACTGTGCTGTGTGTTCCCAGGAGGCCTGAGGGTGAAGTGCGAGTACATGGCCCTGCAGGAGGGGGTCCTCTGCGAGGAGGCGCTGCTGCTCAGCGAGACCAACGACGCCGTCTCCGTCAGGGTCAAAGTTCAGGCCCGGGTCATGGGTGAGTTGGGCTAAACCACTGTGAGGGTGGGGGGTTTGTTTTTTAACTCATTGGCTGCCAAAGACGTCTATAGACGTCTTTTATGTTTTTCAACGAGAGTGGCTGGGGGACGATCTGCTAAAGCTTGTCCGTAAATATCGGCTTCTAGACAGAGTATGTAGTAACAAATTGAGCCTCTAGGGGGCAGTGCCACTTTTGATGGGAGATGAGCATAGACTGTAGGCAAATAAGAAAAAGGTAACGGTTCTATGAGAGAACATGTCGCCGGTGAGACGCAAGTCGAGGAAAAACGGAATAAGGTAGAAACACATTTTTTTTCCCGATGAAAGAATAGAGTCTACTCTTTCTTTTGGTGTGTTTGGTGTTTACATAGTCATAGCACAAACTATTCTGTGGCTCTTGAAAAATCAGTCAAAATGCTCAAAAAACTCTGGCAGTATGGGACTGTCTGTTCTGAAAATGGCTGGCAGTCAATGAGTTAAGGGAGGGGTGGAAAGGATTCATGCAAAAAATGGCTGGACCAGAGTGTGTGTTTCCTCAAATAAGACCAAAAAATACCAGAGACATTCGGAAATGACCAAACAAAACTCCAAATTAGCTCCAAATTAAATTTTAGGAGAATAGATTTACTGCCCAGTTTTTGTCTTCTTTGGTCTGTTATTACTTATTCTATTTAAAAATATCCTACAAATTTTTCATTTTCTCCTTCATACTGAACATGAATGGACATTTTACATATATTTCTGTCACATGTGGTATAATAGAGATATTTTCTATGAAAAAAAGGCAGATGTTAGTATAAACAGGTAAAAGTGAAAAAGCAAACATCAAAAGTAAACAAACCACCTCATTATCTTAATTTCTTTGGCAGCTTATAAAATATATTTTTTAAAAAAAGGTAAATCGGAGGCAATAAGTCTGCCTTTTTTAAAAGCACCATAAAGATTTAACTACAAATATTTGCAATGTTTTGGTAGAAAATTTTTAATAATCCTCTCCTTTTATTATTACTGCATAAATTAATAATCTCCTTAACATTATTTTACTTTTAATGCTGAAATATTTAGTGTCTTTGTTAATTTATATTTTCAAAAAACAACGTTTTTCCAACCAGTTAATAAAAGTAAATGTTACGTTTTTTTACCAAAAAAAGGGCAAAACTTGAACCTTCTCTCTTCTATATTTTTAAAGATTGTACTTTTTAGTTTTATATTTTTTGTTCTATATTTTTATTTCTACATTGTATTTCCTTGCTTCTCATAGAAGCACCAAACACCAAGGAAAATTCCTTGTCAGTCAAAAACCTACTTGGCGATAAACCTTATTCTGATTCTGATTCTGAATGGAGCTCTGCTGCCCCCTGCTGGCCACTCATACTCACGACAACAACATTTAATTAAATTAAATTCTCCAAAACAGATGCTCCATAAATGTCAGTTTTCTATCAAATAATCTGTATTATTCGATTATAAAAGCTAATAATGAGCCACTTTAACCCATTTGGCTCCTTGAATATAAAACAAAGCCGCCTGTAGATGAAGGTAAGTTGGAAACTGAGACGGTTTTCGGCTTTAACGTGAAGAGGAACTGAAAATGTGGCATTTTAATCGCGTTTTTTAGCAGATTGAGAATCAGGTAAAGCAGGTGTGCGTTTCCATCTGCTCCCGTGAGCATTTACCGGCTGCCACCGTCTCTTTCTCAACATCTGTCCAGATGTTGGAGCAAATGAGGTCTGGATGGAGACCAGATTAGTGGATTAAGCCGTGCCTCCACCTCTGCCGTTAGATAACGCTCCGAAAAGGGAAAAGCAGAGAGCAGAATAAAGAAAAGGGATCAAAGGAGCAGGGAAAATATATAGGTGGTGGTTTTGGGTTTGTTTAGTTGTTTTTTTTGGTTTCTGGATGATTTTTGTAGGATTATTTATATTGGATATTTTTAGATTATAGAGCAAAGATTTCAGTTTTATAGGCGGGTCGTGTCTTTTGGTGTATTTTCTATTTCTATAGGTTCCTAAAAGTCAGTTTGGTCATAAATGTTTTTTTATAGGATTATTTATATTGGATATTTATAGATTATAGAGTAAAGACTTCAGTTTTATAGGTGGGTTGTGTCTTTTGTGTATTTTCTGTTTCTATTAGTTCCTAAAAGTCAGTTTGGTCATAAATGTGTTGTTATAGGATAATTTATTTCGGATATTTACAGTTTATAGAATAATAAATAGAATAAAGAGTTGTTTTTTTCAAGGCGATTGATGTCTTTAGTGTATTTTCTGTTTCTCTTATTTCCTAAAAGTCATTTTGGTCATAAATGTTTTTATCTTTAGTGTATTTTCTTTTTCTATAAATTCCTAAAAGTCAGTTTGGTCATAAATGTTTTTATCTTTAGTGTATTTTCTTCTTATATAAATTCCTAAAAGTCAGTTTGGTCATAAATGTTTTTATCTTTAGTGTATTTTCTGTTTCTATAAATTCCTAAAAGTCAGTTTGGTCATGAATGATTTTATTTATATCGGATATTTACAGTTTATAGAATAATTGAGAGAATAAAGACTTGTTTTATTTCATGACGATTGATGTCTTTAGTCTAAATGTGTTGTTATAGGATTATTTATATTGGATATTTACAGTTTATAGAATAATAAAGAGAATAAAGAGTTGTTGTTTTTTTCAAGACGATTGATGTCTTTAATGTATATTATATTTCCATTAGTTCCTAAAAGTCAGATTTATCATACATCTGTTGTTACAGTGTTATTACTCAGAAAATTGGGGGGGAAAAAAGTAGCTGCATTGGCCGGGAATCGAACCCGGGCCTCCCGCGTGGCAGGCGAGAATTCTACCACTGAACCACCAATGCTGAGCTGTTATCAGGAAGGGGGCGGGGCCTAAAGAAGGATGGAGTCACTGCCTCTCTATGGGCCCAAAACTCAGATTTTTGGCGTTTTAAATAGGAACTCCATCTTTTTTGAGAGGTTACAGAGTCACCTGGAGGCTGTTTGAGTCAGAAAAACCTGCTCATTAATCTGGATCTTCAAAGTTTATTTTTTATTTATTTATTTATTTATTTTTACTTTTCCTTTAAATGCAGCAGATAGGAGCGTTTCATATCAGAATCAGAAATACTTTAATACTTTGAATAATACTTTAATAATCCCAGAGGGAGATTATTTATTTGACCTGTTGGCCAAAAAACGTACGACTTTTGTTTTAAGGCGGCGCCGAATCTGCTGTGTTTGTCTCTGTGTTAGCGTCCAGTTTATGTTAATAAAAATAAAGATATTTAAAACCCTGATGAGCAACAGGCTGCAACACAAAGGAGAAACGATTAAACGCAGGCAGGAAAAACATGTGAACAAATTGAGTTTCTTTCAGAAAAGAAAACATGAAACCACTCAGATTTATTTATGTATTTATTTACGTGGTTTATGATTTTTAACTAGACGTTAGCCTTGAGCTGCTAGCTGCGGCTAATGGCTAATAGTAACATGCTATCAATAGTCAAGTCCGCCCACATCCAAGTCGGCCATTTTGATTAGGTCACCAATAGGAAGATTCCAGGCAAGAAAATCCTAATTGCTTCGTGGCAATATAGACATTAATTTAAAAATAGTGAAATGAATCTTGGAATTAAACTCTATCAATAATATTATGTTAAAATAGTGGATGTTAAATAGGTTTGTACAATAAGTCCAGACAAGTTTAACCAAAAAATATTTACAGTTTATAGAATAATAAAGAGAATAAAGAGCTGTTTTTTTCGAGGCAATTGTTTTCTTTAGTATATTTTCTGTTTCTATTAGTTCCTAAGAGTCAGTTTTGTCATAAATGTGTTGTTATAGTATTATTTATATTGGATATTTCTCACAATTATGAATGGTGGAGGGTTAGGGTTAGGTTTAGGGTTAGGGTTAGAGTTAGGGTTAGGTGTAGGGTTAGGGTCATTAATGTGGGCCACCATAACATCAGTAACAGGTCAGTTTGAAACCAAAGACACT